GAAAACCTGAGAATTGTATAATTGACTAATTTTAGGAATTACTAAGTAAATACATTATGTTATAATTTTAGATGTTTGATATGTTTTCTTTTAATTATTAAATAATTTTTAAAATGATTACAAATTTTGAAATAAAACTTGAAGTATCGTCTAATCACACTTTACGTTTTTTAAAACATCCATAAAAATAGAGTCAAGCTACATACACAACTCCAATAATGCTCTACATTCATTCATTATTTTGCTTTTTTCATTAAACAATTAATCACCATTTTTCCTCTTTTTTAAAGACATCCCTCTTTTCTTATTTTATTACTTTTCTCTCCCCTTTTTTTCTTTTGTAAAAATCAAAGAAAAGATCTGTGCAACAATAAATCACTACTAAATAATAGCTTTTCACCAACGGAAAATTACCAACAGATCAAATCCGTTGGTAATTAGAAACAGATTATCCGTTCGTAAAAATAATCCACTTTTAACTACGATATTTAGCAACGGAATTTCCGTTAGTAACGGTGATATCTCTTTACCAACGGATATTCCGTACCACTTGAAGCCGTTTAACATTTGGATGTTTCACCTATGGATATTTCCGTAGGTGATCCGTTGGTAATTAGAAACGGATTATCCGTTGGTAAAAGTAATCCACTTTTAACACGATATTTAGCAACGAAAATTCCGTTAGTAATGGTGATATCTCTTTAACAACGGATATTCCGTACTTTATGTAGTCGACGTACCGATAATTACCAACAGACTACATCCGTTGGTATTTAGAAACGGATTATCCGTTGGTAAATGTAATCCACTTTTAAAAAGGTGTTAGTCCCACATTGGAAAATTACTAAAACATTGAAAAAGGAAACTTCTTTTTAGCCAAATGAATGTCACTTGTATTTAAAAAGTTATTTTGGTCTTTTATTGCAATAGATGGGCCATCAGGATAGTTAAAAAAAAATTATATTAACCGGATTAACTGGAAAAATTGGAAAAAAAAATTATATTTTTTCTTTGGTAATGAAGACTTTTTACCAACGGATATTCCGTTGGCAATTACAAGATTTTTAGCAATGGAAATTCCGTTAGCAATAAAAGACTTTTACCAACGGCATTTCTGTTGGAAATGACAAGGTTTTTACCAACGAAAATTTCGTTGGTAAATGGAAAGATGTTTACCCATGAAAATTTAGTTGGTAAAAGTAATATACTATCAGGTACCCTCAAATTAGCAATGGATTTTCTTTTTGTTGATGAAGAATATTAGCGACGGATATCGTGGTTTCAGGCACGGAAATATCCGTGCCTAAAACCATGTTTTTAGTAGTGAATGAAGTATTTTATATAGAGTGGAGTTTACTCTTTACATTTGGAGAAAAATCCACTCTTTACTTTAATTTTTGAAGATAAAGACTCGACAGCTTAAAAAGAGGTTTGACTCTCAAAATGGAGAAAATATGACTAATTTAAAGATGGATAAATTCATTCATCATATCTTAACCATTGAATACTTTATAGTTACCCACAAGTATCTTGCAGTTGCGTCATAAGCTAAAGAATTTGTTATGATTATGGCACGACTTTTAAAAGTCAAAAGAAAATTTTGATATTCAAAAGCTATTTTTGGATTCTTCAGATTAATTTTATGGAAGTGCTTATTCCAGTTATAATAAGAGCTTTTAAATGAAATCGATCTATTATGGCTTCTTATAAAATTACTTCTGAAATAGGAAGCTATTTTAAATTTAGTTTCCAAATAAAAATTAAGCTAACTTTCTTCAAAATCTATTCTACCAGAAGTAAAAATAAAAGTAAAAACTATGTCAAATGGACCCTATCCATATTATGCCGAAAGTAACTCAAGTTAATTAACTAATGCCTAACGTGGTGTGTAAAATTTATTATGGATAAATATACTTCAGTTTGAGCTTGTAACTTGCTTAAATTAAGACAACAATTTGAGTTTGCGTAAAAACTGATTGAAACCTAAATAATATCGATGCTTTGAATGCAAAACGACAATAAATTTCAATTTAAGCAAAACTACATATTCAAGCCAGTCGAGAAGTTTAAGCAAATGTCTTCTTGTAATTTTCAATTTGACTTCAAGTGATAGCTAATCGAACCTAATTAATGCCACCAGCCAAAACCACAATAATGACAATGCAAGCAAATTGCGTACTCAAGTAAGTCGAGAAGTTAGGAGCAAATGTGTCCTTGTAATGGTTACCATGTTTAATAGTTTGTCATCAAGTAATAACTAACTTAACCTAAACAATTTCGCACACATTGACGCGCAAAACCACAATAATCTCAATGCAAGCAACCTTTTTTTTTTTTTCAAGTCCAAACCAATCCAATAGAACCTTACTTGTAGTGGAGTAATACCGTGGTTACATACTCGATCATAGACACTACACCAAAAATCAAACAAGATCTGCTATCTTTATCGCTAAACATGACTAATAAAACAAAAAACCCAGCCTAACAACCCACCAAAATATCGTGAATAAATCAATTACGGAAGTAAGCTACTCCAATTCGATCTAACCGGACAAGACCACGGGCAACTCTGGGTAGCTCCATATGCGAGTAAAACCTCTGTGTATGCCCTTTTGCACCTATTTTTGCTAATGTATTTGCCACTTGATTACCTTCTCTGTACTATTACATGAACCTTAATGCAAGCAACTGCATACTCAAGTAAGTTGAGAAATTTGAAGAAAATGTCTCCTTATAACTCAATACTTTCCACATTTTGACTTCAAGTATAAATCTAAACAGTAATGCAAGTACGCATTGACACACAAAGCGACAATAATCTCAATGCAAGCAATCTGTCAAAATATGGGAAGCAAAGCCAGCCAACGCAGCAAGCCATGCCAGCAGGATCATCTACTCAGCAATGCCATTAGAAGAATCCAGAAGAAGATCAGCTGGAAGATGTTGCACGTGCTTTTCTGTTATGCGTTTTTAAATTTGTTGTAAATATTGTTGTAAAGATTCCTTTCTTGTTATATATAGTGGCCAGTACACTCCATTGAAATGTAGAGGAAATTACAGATAATTAATAGAATTCCCTTCTTGCATTTTGCAAATTTCAATTCTAATCTCATTCACCTTTCCCTCTCCAGCTTCATTTCCCTGAAGTTGATTTCAGTTATTGCATTTATTTTTCTTATATGGTATCAGAACCATAATGGCACAAATTGAACATTC